GCGAGTGTGGACTGTGAAACGCTTTAAGATGTTTTGAGGTTAATGCACAAATTAATGCACAGATTCCTATCACCTTCTTCTTGATTAATCTTGATTACTTGGTTGATCAGCTGAATAATTCAACAGCTTTAACTGCTGTCACTCCAGCAAAAATCAAAAAAAATCGGATGCCTTTTTTGACTCATTAAAATCTGCCTCAATTTCAAGAATTTAGACTTGCAATAACAGGAGCAATCTGCTTTACCTGCTGGGTGATGCTGAATAGGTGCAGGTATGTGGAACCGAAACTTGTTTAGGCAAGATGCCAGATCAGCTACTGACTGAAGTGAAACCTTTTGTGAATGATTGTCGAGTAGGAGGTGGAGAGGAGAGTCAAACGAATCATTCACCCTCCAAACCACATCTTATTCAACATCTCGGGGGTGTATATATCCTCTGTGGGACACAAGCCAGCTTATCACTTTGGTGTGTTAAAAGCGGCCATCTTCACAGTCCCGAGACGATGTTTGCTCTTTTTTCTAAAAAAGTCCTTGAGCAGATCCAAATCTCACTGTGATCTTTCAGCAGCTTTGTTTTTCAATGTTTTGCAAATGTCAACTCCGCACTTGGATTTCCAAGCGAACATGTATTACTTCTGTTGAACTGTTTTGTTTGTGGAGTGTAACATTCAAAGGCAAATGGGATGATCCTGATTGCAGGTGACTTTTTTATTGCTGGTTGTTATTATTGCCGCTAAAATTTAGATTGGCTGCAAGCCATCTATAATTGGCATCCGATCCATTCGGTCAAGAAGTGCACCTTGTCCTTTCGTCCTCTATTTTACATGATTCTTTCTAGACTGCTTCATGGTTTCCTCTCTCGCTCTTGCCCCAAAGTGAGTCTTCGGGATAAAGTTCATGGTTGCAGACTCTCCCTTGGTTGTCTGTCATCACACAGTCAAACCCTTCAACTAATTGAAAATATTGGTTAAAATATTCCATCTGTTCTCTTCACAAATTTATTCCTTGCCTTTCCCCCACTGAGCACGACAGACATCTTGGCTGCCGAAGTTAGCGGAAATTTCTGAAATTATTCGAGGGGGAATTGGAAGGCAATTCTAGCCTGCAAGCCAGAAATTCCTGTGTGCCCCAGCAGAGTTCTAGTTTCTCACTCCCTCTGCTGTTCTCAAGTCAGTGATAATAAGGGGGTAGGAGAGGGGGAAGAGAGAGGGAAGAATTTGAGTGTAAGGGAGGACGGTATTACCCGGACTACCTCGTTCATAGGGCAATGGTGAGTGACATTGAACAGAAGGCCTGATCTCTGGCCACGACTGTGGGAGATGTGATATACCTGGTCCTCTGCCTCTTCTCTCGAACGTGCACCAATCATCCAGGGCTTCTGCTCCTATTTGCTGTCCAGAGACTGCCCTTCTGAGAAGTGTACGTACATTGGGGTGACTACCAGCCTTTCCGATGATCCCGTGACTGGTTAAAGCCTGAAGAACAGCCAAGTGGGCGAGCTATTGTCCAAGCCCCAGCACATGTCCAGATCTTCAGCAGGGGAGAAAGTGGACTGTACGTGAATGGGTGCAGGGGAGATGTCTGCTGATTGGACTTTGTTAAGTTCTCTATTGCCATCATTCCTTCCTAGGGCCAGAGTTTATGGTACTAAGGAGGCTTGTTCTCTAACCGCAATGTAACTGCACATTGGCAAACAAAAAAGGATCCTGTCTCTTTAAGAGGAGAAAACTGAGGGAGTTAGAGAGTCCAGGTGCTTCCTGTTTGTTTCGTTTTTTGGGAACTTCATAAAACTGACAGCGAAAAAGGACATATCGTCAAATAGGACAACTTTCCCACAGTTCCGTGAACTCTTCACCTTCAAATAGTATCTCCAGCTGTGCCATTAACCCAGCACTTGCTAGCAGCATCCCAGGCGCTGTTTCAAAACTGTTTAAAGCGAGAAAAGGTTCTGCTTTTTTTTAATGAAAGAAAAGAAATTGGAAATCCAGTGATTTTTTAAAAAAAAATTTAATGAAAGAAAAGAAATTTTTAATGAAAGAAAAGAAATTGGAAATCCAGTGATTTCCCCATTGAGTTTCTCCCATTATTGTGCATAGGTCAGGGATTTACTATTGACCCTTTGTCACACCAAAACCATTTCCCAACCAATGCCAAATACAGGCAAACATACTGTTTGGGGGACACTGCTGTTTTCAATTGGCTGCCGCGTTTTGCCCACAAATATACAGTCAATTCACTTTACAGTATATTCTGTGAAGCGCTTTGAGGCGTCTCGAAGACATGATAAGGCGCTATATCAAATGCAAGGATTATTATTTAAGATTGTGTGATGCTGGTACTCACAGGCTTTTTGAATCATTCCCTTCGAGCAGCAGGTTTGGAAGCTATTTTTAAACGTCTTCTGAAGATTGACTCAGGGTTGAAGAGCGCCCAGCTAAGGCTGGGTTGCCAACGCCCCAGGGAAGCAGGATTCCTCGAGCTAGTTTCAGGAGGGGGGGTGGGGATGTGACTCATTCGTCACATTGGTTTATCATTCTTAAACTGGGTAGGTCAGCTTTTAGCTGAGCCCAGCTGATTTTTGCAGTGAAGTGCCTCCTGCTAAAAACTCGGGAGGGATGCGATAAATGCTGGTGTGGATAAAAAGTAGCACGCTTCAAAAGACAAGACAAATGAGCTGCAGCTGGATGTAATAGCACCGATTGAGCATGTTGCGCGTGATGCTGAGCCAACCTCCTCCACGAACAATGGTAAAGTCACCGGCCATTGTAAAGTAAATCGTGCAGAGCAGAATGGCTTGGGTTGAGCATGTCTCACTTGGGCAGCAGTAAGGTTCCTGCAATTGGACCTGGTTTAGGGAAAAGAAATAACCTGCTCCTTATTGCTCCTCTGTTGCTACTCACAGCATGTTTTTCTGCTATCGAACCTCTTTCCCCCCCCCCCCCCCCTTCAATGGTCGGTAAGCAAGTTCAAGTGGCCTTGCTTTCTCACCGACTGGACACATGATGAAGAGGGGCCACTTACTACAGTGGAGTTTACCACAGGCCAAGAGCGGTGCATATGATTCCTCAGCATGAGTTGCCACTCTGTGATCTCCCAAGCTGCTGGTGTAGGGTTTGAATGAACTCAGATTCAGATGAATTGGGTTCAGGTGCCTGGGAACGGGGCTTTGAAAGATGGTAAGCGTTGACGTGCCAGAGCTCCGGGTTCCTGTGATCTGCTCGAGACCTCTAGCCAAGTGTGTTAAGCTGTACAGTGTGCAATAACAAAAAGTCTCCCTAAAAAAGGACCCAGTTGTGAAGTAGTGAGAGATTCCAGGGCAACGAAGAGCCCAACAATCTGGAATGTAACTCAAACAGTTTGATTTAACAGGGCATGGGGGGAGGAGATTATCCAGAGTAGACTATGAAGACCTGTTTGTGGTTTTGTCTTGAGTGGCTCGTCTCTGTAGGACAGTCAAGCTTGAGGACTGTGGCCTTGCTTGGAACTGGCCTTCCTCACCATTGGCGGACATGGACCTCAGGGCATCTGGGGACAGGAAGGAGGCAGTGGGGATTAAATGCACTTTTAAAAAAAAACTGAACACAGTCGATGCTGACAGTGATCTGAATGAGAGGCTGAGAAATGTCAGTTGTTGTCATGTCTTAATCTTCACTTCCTGCACCCGAGGAGGAACGGACTACATTAGTGGATGCAGGCACTTGCTATCGTATGGGCACAACTCTCCTAATTTTGTGGTGCGGCAATCGCTGGATGTCTTCTTTCTTCCTTGCTCCGAAGATACTAATTCACCCTGACATTTGCCTTCCAGTACCTCGTCCAAGTCTCCTGCTTTTTTTGCGTGAGCTCCAACTGTGAGTGTGAGTGGGGTGGGGGAGGGAAGAAGAACTCAAGCTCAATCTGGATCCTGACCTGGTGTTCATCTCCTCACTGTCCAGTCGGGGCTGCAGGATATGAATCGGGAACTGGAGCCTGGCTCAATTTGATCAATTATAGTATCAGCTTCTGAACAGCCACGGGATCGGATGTGAGATCTGGGGTCAGTATGGTTCAGCTGCAAGCTGGACATTGGCTTTACCAGTAAAATCCCTGGGGAGCTCGTCTGGCTATTTTTAAGGAGTTAATTATAAGCGAGGCAACTTCATTCTGTTGGCACATAATCCATCACCCGGCCCCGAAGCTACAGTTGATTTGTACTGAACAGCAGTACTCGGAGCTTCCTGTCACGTCTTGTATTAAGACAGGAATCTATCTGCAGGTGATCAGCTGCTGGAGGAGCTATGTTCACCTGTTCCAGTCCGCAATCTTTTTGCTGCTGAACCAACCCGTAAATGAACTTCCAGGTATTCGGAGAGCGCAGTGCAGGCTGTATCTTGCAGCCACAGATTAATCCCGCTGTGTTTGCAGAGACGTGAGGCATGCCCTGAGCAAGGGAAACATGATGGAAGGATTTGTTTATGAACTTAAAGTATGCCTCCACCTATGTAGGTGGACCTCAGCGTGTAATTGACATCTTTTAATGGATTATTTCTCGTCCAAGTGATTCGCAGTGTAGCTGATTTCTCCTCCCCCCCCCCCCCCCCACCCCACCCCCACCCATTTGAAGGGGTTCCTGTAGTTCATATAAAGATTTCCGAGGTGTCTGTTGTTGCAGCGGGGTTGGATGTTATTTTTGTATCGTTATCGTGAGATACGAGTGACGCAGAGTTCAGTCGTTTGGTTACAAGTGAAAGTGGGCCTTACAGGTTAGAAATACCCAAGGTTCACCCCGTGCTCGTGCTGAGTTACCTGATGGTAGCCGGAGCAGGGCCGGGCACATCTGGCTCACCTCCTGGGTTAGGATCTCCAGCGAGTGGCTCCTGCTGTGGACTTGGGAGTGTGTGTTTTAGTCGGGCGCAGACTTGAAACAACTGCACGTCCTAGTAATGGCTTATGATACTTGAACCTGCAGATCTGAAGCGGGAAAATGGGATTGACGTTCTTGTGTTTTGTGCTTTGTTACAGGATTGTCCACAGATTCTACCATCCACCAAGATCTTCATCCCCGTGGGGGTGGTGAAGCCCATCACTCTGACTGCCAAGAACCTGCCCCAACCCCAGTCAGGACAGCGCAGCTACGACTGCATCTTCAACATCCAGGGCTTCGAGAAACGGGTGCCCGCTCTTCGGTTCAACAGCACCAGCGTCCAGTGCCAAAACACCTCGGTGAGTGTTACCCTCCTGAACCAATCGAGCCAATAGAGTAATAGAGTCAGTGACTTGATCGTCTCCAGTTTGGAGCAGGTTGTGGTGTGCAGTGCAAGTGCGTGTACATAGCCACCCCCTTATTTCCACCTTTGGCCATCACCCTCTTGACTGCTGCATGATTTTCAATTTGCAGATTAGGACCTTGCAAAGTAAGCCCAGAGCAGCCCAACTCCCAACTCGTGAGCTGAGCCTCCAGACTTACTGTGCTCCAGATGATGCAATGCTTATCCGGAAAATAGGATCATCTTTACCCTGGAACACCGTAACGCTCATCTGGGATAATTCCCAGACCCTATTTTCCAGATGAAAAAGAGACAGTGAGAACTGTCACTGTTTGTATGACAGTGCGACTGTCTTGTTCATACTCAGGACCGCTGGTGAATGAAACAGTTACCCACATTGTGGCAGGCTCACAAAGTCCTGTTACCCCTGTTTTTTTTCTGCAGTGCATTAACCAACAACTGAAACATGTGAAAGAATGGTGATATTTAGAAGTATTTAATTGTATTCAGTGCAAGCGTTTAACTGTATTTAGACGTCCAGAGGATCAGTGCGACCGCCATTATTTTCAGTCGCCTTGTTTGGTGTGACATCTTCAATAACATGGATGGGGTGAGGAGGAAATTACTGGGATCAGACATTGTTACACTCAACTCATCTGCAACAGAAAATAATTCGTTGTAAGAAAAGAATCAGGGGTAACAGGACATAGTATATTGAATATTTTGCAGAGAACCATAGCACTTGGACATTAAGCATCATTATCCATCTGGAGAATGCGATATTCGGGTGATCCCAGTTGAGTGATAAGGTGGTCCAGCCCAAGGATGGGAGTTGGTGTTGAAAACAAAGGACAGAAACGTGATCAGGAGCAGGGTCTGGGTGTCAGTTTACTTTGAGGTCTGTTCCTGTGGCTGTATAATGCTTGTCGGTTGAGTTTAGGAAAGGTGGTGTGGTGGCCCTGCAAACAGGCACGATCGAGTCACGCACAAAGAGTAGCCTCTTGGGTGAGGGGCAGAAGGATTTAGGGGAGGCAAAAATTGGACGGAGGACAAAAAAAAGAATATTTCAGTACTTGAGATAGGACAAGAACCTGAAGTGTTGTATGGAAATGTACTGAATCTTTAAGGATAAGACTCAGGCTTCATTAAATAACGTCTTGCCATGAATCCTGATCTGAAAGACTGGCTGAACACAGACCCGATTATGTCCCAGAACTGATCTCCTGAGTAAGGAGTCCAGTGATGCAGTGGATTGTAGCCACAATGATAGTGTTTGTGGTGACAATTGGCTGTACTGTCTGAAAACTTGCTTTGTGTTATATCAAGATGTCTGGGGATAATGACTGGGTTTCTGCATTGCTTTGACACTGTGTGGAGCTGGCTTACGTTGTTTAACACCAAGGTTTTGAATATCCTGCTGTCCAAAACCGGCTGTTCAGCAGCTTTTTACAATGATTAGCTGCTGCAGCACTTAAGAAAGATTTGTATTCAGTATTAAAATAATGCACAAGACCGCCAACAGAGATCATTTGTGCTGCGTGTTGTCTGCGTGTGCGTGTATGTGTGTGTGAGCATGACTGTGTGAGGGGGTGGGAAAAATTCCAAGCAGCACTATTTGGCTGTCGGTTGAATAACAAATATATTCATAATTGTCATTGAACAGTCAATCTCAAGAGGGACGGTGCTTTGTTATTTCAAGGAATCTTTACCCTGTATGGCTCTCCAGTCTGATGTAGCCTCTATTTTAGTCGATAACCAGATAGATGCGAGCAGAAGTCTCGTCTCATCCAAATGTAACATTTACTCCCACTGGGAATCGTTCATATAAAACAACGTTGCCCATTTTCCTTGGTTTGCTCAGTAATTCTTGTGAAACAGTGCTATAGTTTGACAGCAATTTAACTTCACTGGGAGAGGCTCCTTAAGTGGAGAACAGTGCAGTTTGCGCACTCTCGCTAATCTGGGATCGACCTTATGCTGGCAGCGTACGGTCATGGAAATAACCCGCAACACCCTGTAGAACAGTGCTACCCATACAATTTCCGCATTTTCTGCTACAACGACCCCAACAAACCCGCTATAAGGGTAGCTTCTGGCCCACTGGCCGCTTGCACTGTCCTACCTGACGTCACTGTGGACCGAGCGGCTCTGGACGCCCACAAGCGCAGTGTGGCGCAGGCGGCAAATGGGCTACACCGCAGGAGGCCCTGCTGTTGTGATTGTCTGTGCCTCTAAGTGTGTCTGTGTCTCTTTTGTACGTTTGTGTGTGTTTATGGGTGTCTGTGTGAATGTGTGTCTCTTTATGTCTATGAGTGCATGTCTCGCTCTCTGTGTATGTGTATCTCTGTGTCTGTGAGTGTGTGTCTCCCTCTCTCTGTGTCTGTGAGTATCTGTGTGTGTGTGTCTCTGTGTGTGTGTGTGTGTCTCTCTGTGTCTTGAGTGTGTGTGTATCTCTCTGTCTGTGAGTGTGTCTCTCTCTCTTGTGTCTGAGTGTGTATGTGTGTCTGTGTCTCTGTCTGTGTACGTGTCTCTCTCTCTGTGTGTGTGTGTCTCTGTGAGGTGTATGTGTCTCTCCCTCGTGACTGTGTGTCTCTCTCTGTGTCTGAGTGTGTTTCTCTCTGGGTCTCTGTGTTTATGTGCAGTGCCAGCCACTGCGAGGCAGGAGGTGTTGAGCTCCAGTAGCTTTGCTGGTGTCCCGTCACCCCTCACCCCCTCTCCCCCAAAAAATGGCCACCCAGTTTTTGTTAAAAAGCATTTTTTTTTTGGAACAATCTAATACGTGTTACTTCCTGATGTTTAGTTTTTAGCAATAAAGTGAAAAAATGTAGCAGCAAAACATACCTCAATAGTCTTCAATTTTCTGAAAAATGTGTCAAATCCCCCCCCCACCCCTCAATTTCATGTAAAATTGGCAAATCTCCCCGCAATTTGGGGCAAATATTTCCGCACTTTTCTATTGGCGCCTCGCTCTCCCTCTACGACCTCCTGAGACCCTGCTACCCCGACCATTCCCTCCGCTCATCACGCACCACCCAGCTTCACATCCCCGGCTTGATCCACCCATCAACAGTTTCAAGAACAAATTAGATTTCTGCTGGACAGTGATATTTCGGGATACAGGATATAGTTTGGGACACGGCATGTCAAGCAACTGCCAGGATGGTGGAAGGCGAACGAGATGGACCTTGATCTTCTTTCGCCCAGCAAATTCGTATGTTCTTATCAGTTGTTTGCCATTCTGCCTCTGCTCTGGGACTCCATCTGGAGTCTTGCCCTTCCTGCTTCAAAACACACCTTACGACCCATTACTTTGACCGTGCTTTCAGCCACCCTTGCCCCATAGCTCTTTCCTCCTCCTTTAAAATTTATCCTCCTAATGCTTTGAGATAGCCTCCCGACACTCAAGTTTCTATGTCATATAAATTGTTGCTGTCAGTGTGCTTTGGCTCTCCATGAAATGTTCAGTATAATTATTTGCCACAGCTTGGGCAAATGTTGCATTCGCCAGCACAAAACTCCAGTGGATGAACGAGCCAGTCGGAGTGCAACTCTTAAACCTCAATTATCAGGCCAGTTATCTGCATAAAACTGTTTGTGGGGCACTGCTGTGTGCAAACGGCTGCCGCGTTTCGCCCACAAGATTTACAGTCAATTCTGTTACCGTATTTTCTATTAAGCGTTTTGAGGTGTCTCAAAGATGTGATATAGATGTGGTGAAGCTATATCAAATGCAAGGATTATTACTATTAGATGTGCACCCAGTTCACCAGTCCCAGTCCACAAGAATCCATAGCTGTGCTGTTTATGTTAACAACCCTGTGAGATCACAAATCATCCTTTTGATGGATGTCAATCTCATAATATCCCTCAATGTTGTCGGTCGATCTCATTTCTTTCGCCCTGTACATATACTGTCTGTTCAGTTGTCTCTTGAACTTATTTATACTGTTGACTTCAATGGCCGGCACTGGTTATTGATTCCACAGATCTGCCTGAATTCCTTTCTTATTCTGGGCAGCCCATGTCGTTACTGAGCACTCCCAGGTTACATGCAGCACGAGATAGATGCAAGGCAAAGCTCCCTTTAGCCGTTAAAAGAAAAATCCTCCCTAGATTGTGCAGCGCTCAAGAATGGCACCATGGGGTGCCATTGATGGTTTTCTGGTCGAAGTGGCGAGCTGTGTGAGTGTTCAGCCACACGCTAATTTTGCTAATTTGGGGTAATGGTGTAAGCCAGTTGAAGCCAGCAAAGTTGGCATCAAGCCCAGATTCCAATACCATTAATGGGGCTTCACTGTGAGCAATTGCACTGTGGACAGCTCCAAATCAACTGTGCAATGGACTACATTTGAAAGACATTGGGATGCGTAGTGCAGTGTTCTGTAAGATTTACAGCGACTGCTCTTGAGTTCGCATCTTTCTACAGAGCACATATATAACTTTTGTCATCTAATAATGTATCTGCAACATTTACACCGCATTGTCTGATGTGATAAACACAAGCACCGCTCATATATTTGTCGGGCTCTGAATGTGCTTGGATTTTAATCGAATAGAGTGCTCCTCTTGACTTGGTTTGTTGGGTACGGTTACCTCTGTTGTGTTGATTCTGGCGGCGATGTTGCAAACAGTTAAGAGCAAACAGACAATGTGGACTCAGTGGTCCTCGCTCTTTCTTTTCCAGTTGATTCCAAACACTTGGTTTAGTGGATAAATTTAGCTCGCTACTGCTGTTCTTTCACTTTGTCACAACCACTTACGTTCAACACAAGTTTGGAAGGACAAAATCTCTTAATTATACGCAGGGTAAGCTTTTATGCTCATCTGATGAAGGTTATCGACCCTGGGAAAATCCTGCCAGCTTTAGACTGCAGCCTCGAAATTGTAATTCAGGAACTTTAAGAGAAGTTTACTGTTCAGCCAACCACCCGGGGAAACCCGTCAGCCTGCTTAAGA